TGTGTCCACAGTGTGGTTCTGTGTGTGTGTCCACAGTGTGGTTCTGTGTGTGTGTGTCCACAGTGTGGTTCTGTGTGTGTGTGTCCACAGTGTGGTTCTGTGTGTGTGTGTCCACAGTGTGGTTCTGTGTGTGTGTGTCCACAGTGTGGTTCTGTGTGTGTGTGTCCACAGTGTGGTTCTGTGTGTGTGTGTCCACAGTGTGGTTCTGTGTGTGTGTGTCCACAGTGTGGTTCTGTGTGTGTGTGTCCACAGTGTGGTTCTGTGTGTGTGTGTCCACAGTGTGGTTCTGTGTGTGTGTGTCCACAGTGTGGTTCTGTGTGTGTGTGTCCACAGTGTGGTTCTGTGTGTGTGTGTCCACAGTGTGGTTCTGTGTGTGTGTGTCCACAGTGTGGTTCTGTGTGTGTGTGTCCACAGTGTGGTTCTGTGTGTGTGTGTCCACAGTGTGGTTCTGTGTGTGTGTGTCCACAGTGTGGTTCTGTGTGTGTGTGTCCACAGTGTGGTTCTGTGTGTGTGTGTCCACAGTGTGGTTCTGTGTGTGTGTGTCCACAGTGTGGTTCTGTGTGTGTGTGTCCACAGTGTGGTTCTGTGTGTGTGTGTCCACAGTGTGGTTCTGTGTGTGTGTGTCCACAGTGTGGTTCTGTGTGTGTGTGTCCACAGTGTGGTTCTGTGTGTGTGTGTCCACAGTGTGGTTCTGTGTGTGTGTGTCCACAGTGTGGTTCTGTGTGTGTGTGTCCACAGTGTGGTTCTGTGTGTGTGTGTCCACAGTGTGGTTCTGTGTGTGTGTGTCCACAGTGTGGTTCTGTGTGTGTGTGTCCACAGTGTGGTTCTGTGTGTGTGTGTCCACAGTGTGGTTCTGTGTGTGTGTGTCCACAGTGTGGTTCTGTGTGTGTGTGTCCACAGTGTGGTTCTGTGTGTGTGTGTCCACAGTGTGGTTCTGTGTGTGTGTGTCCACAGTGTGGTTCTGTGTGTGTGTGTCCACAGTGTGGTTCTGTGTGTGTGTGTCCACAGTGTGGTTCTGTGTGTGTGTGTCCACAGTGTGGTTCTGTGTGTGTGTGTCCACAGTGTGGTTCTGTGTGTGTGTGTCCACAGTGTGGTTCTGTGTGTGTGTGTCCACAGTGTGGTTCTGTGTGTGTGTGTCCACAGTGTGGTTCTGTGTGTGTGTGTCCACAGTGTGGTTCTGTGTGTGTGTGTCCACAGTGTGGTTCTGTGTGTGTGTGTGTCCACAGTGTGGTTCTGTGTGTGTGTGTCCACAGTGTGGTTCTGTGTGTGTGTGTCCACAGTGTGGTTCTGTGTGTGTGTGTCCACAGTGTGGTTCTGTGTGTGTGTGTCCACAGTGTGGTTCTGTGTGTGTGTGTCCACAGTGTGGTTCTGTGTGTGTGTGTCCACAGTGTGGTTCTGTGTGTGTGTGTCCACAGTGTGGTTCTGTGTGTGTGTGTCCACAGTGTGGTTCTGTGTGTGTGTGTCCACAGTGTGGTTCTGTGTGTGTGTGTCCACAGTGTGGTTCTGTGTGTGTGTGTCCACAGTGTGGTTCTGTGTGTGTGTGTCCACAGTGTGGTTCTGTGTGTGTGTGTCCACAGTGTGGTTCTGTGTGTGTGTGTCCACAGTGTGGTTCTGTGTGTGTGTGTCCACAGTGTGGTTCTGTGTGTGTGTGTCCACAGTGTGGTTCTGTGTGTGTGTGTCCACAGTGTGGTTCTGTGTGTGTGTGTCCACAGTGTGGTTCTGTGTGTGTGTGTCCACAGTGTGGTTCTGTGTGTGTGTGTCCACAGTGTGGTTCTGTGTGTGTGTGTCCACAGTGTGGTTCTGTGTGTGTGTGTCCACAGTGTGGTTCTGTGTGTGTGTGTCCACAGTGTGGTTCTGTGTGTGTGTGTCCACAGTGTGGTTCTGTGTGTGTGTGTCCACAGTGTGGTTCTGTGTGTGTGTGTCCACAGTGTGGTTCTGTGTGTGTGTGTCCACAGTGTGGTTCTGTGTGTGTGTGTCCACAGTGTGGTTCTGTGTGTGTGTGTCCACAGTGTGGTTCTGTGTGTGTGTGTCCACAGTGTGGTTCTGTGTGTGTGTGTCCACAGTGTGGTTCTGTGTGTGTGTGTCCACAGTGTGGTTCTGTGTGTGTGTCCACAGTGTGGTTCTGTGTGTGTGTGTCCACAGTGTGGTTCTGTGTGTGTGTGTCCACAGTGTGGTTCTGTGTGTGTGTGTCCACAGTGTGGTTCTGTGTGTGTGTGTCCACAGTGTGGTTCTGTGTGTGTGTGTCCACAGTGTGGTTCTGTGTGTGTGTGTCCACAGTGTGGTTCTGTGTGTGTGTGTCCACAGTGTGGTTCTGTGTGTGTGTGTGGTTCTGTGTGTGTGTGTCCACAGTGTGGTTCTGTGTGTGTGTGTCCACAGTGTGGTTCTGTGTGTGTGTGTCCACAGTGTGGTTCTGTGTGTGTGTGTCCACAGTGTGGTTCTGTGTGTGTGTGTCCACAGTGTGGTTCTGTGTGTGTGTGTCCACAGTGTGGTTCTGTGTGTGTGTGTCCACAGTGTGGTTCTGTGTGTGTGTGTCCACAGTGTGGTTCTGTGTGTGTGTGTCCACAGTGTGGTTCTGTGTGTGTGTGTCCACAGTGTGGTTCTGTGTGTGTGTGTCCACAGTGTGGTTCTGTGTGTGTGTGTCCACAGTGTGGTTCTGTGTGTGTGTGTCCACAGTGTGGTTCTGTGTGTGTGTGTCCACAGTGTGGTTCTGTGTGTGTGTGTCCACAGTGTGGTTCTGTGTGTGTGTGTCCACAGTGTGGTTCTGTGTGTGTGTGTCCACAGTGTGGTTCTGTGTGTGTGTGCCACAGTGTGGTTCTGTGTGTGTGTGTCCACAGTGTGGTTCTGTGTGTGTGTGTCCACAGTGTGGTTCTGTGTGTGTGTGTCCACAGTGTGGTTCTGTGTGTGTGTGTCCACAGTGTGGTTCTGTGTGTGTGTGTCCACAGTGTGGTTCTGTGTGTGTGTGTCCACAGTGTGGTTCTGTGTGTGTGTGTCCACAGTGTGGTTCTGTGTGTGTGTGTCCACAGTGTGGTTCTGTGTGTGTGTGTCCACAGTGTGGTTCTGTGTGTGTGTGTCCACAGTGTGGTTCTGTGTGTGTGTGTCCACAGTGTGGTTCTGTGTGTGTGTGTCCACAGTGTGGTTCTGTGTGTGTGTGTCCACAGTGTGGTTCTGTGTGTGTGTGTCCACAGTGTGGTTCTGTGTGTGTGTGTCCACAGTGTGGTTCTGTGTGTGTGTGTCCACAGTGTGGTTCTGTGTGTGTGTGTCCACAGTGTGGTTCTGTGTGTGTGTGTCCACAGTGTGGTTCTGTGTGTGTGTGTCCACAGTGTGGTTCTGTGTGTGTGTGTCCACAGTGTGGTTCTGTGTGTGTGTGTCCACAGTGTGGTTCTGTGTGTGTGTGTCCACAGTGTGGTTCTGTGTGTGTGTCCACAGTGTGGTTCTGTGTGTGTGTGTCCACAGTGTGGTTCTGTGTGTGTGTGTCCACAGTGTGGTTCTGTGTGTGTGTGTCCACAGTGTGGTTCTGTGTGTGTGTGTCCACAGTGTGGTTCTGTGTGTGTGTGTCCACAGTGTGGTTCTGTGTGTGTGTGTCCACAGTGTGGTTCTGTGTGTGTGTGTCCACAGTGTGGTTCTGTGTGTGTGTGTCCACAGTGTGGTTCTGTGTGTGTGTGTCCACAGTGTGGTTCTGTGTGTGTGTGTGTCCACAGTGTGGTTCTGTGTGTGTGTGTCCACAGTGTGGTTCTGTGTGTGTGTGTCCACAGTGTGGTTCTGTGTGTGTGTGTCCACAGTGTGGTTCTGTGTGTGTGTGTCCACAGTGTGGTTCTGTGTTGTGTGTGTCCACAGTGTGGTTCTGTGTGTGTGTGTCCACAGTGTGGTTCTGTGTGTGTGTGTCCACAGTGTGGTTCTGTGTGTGTGTGTCCACAGTGTGGTTCTGTGTGTGTGTGTCCACAGTGTGGTTCTGTGTGTGTGTGTCCACAGTGTGGTTCTGTGTGTGTGTGTCCACAGTGTGGTTCTGTGTGTGTGTGTCCACAGTGTGGTTCTGTGTGTGTGTGTCCACAGTGTGGTTCTGTGTGTGTGTGTCCACAGTGTGGTTCTGTGTGTGTGTGTCCACAGTGTGGTTCTGTGTGTGTGTGTCCACAGTGTGGTTCTGTGTGTGTGTGTCCACAGTGTGTGTTCTGTGTGTGTGTGTCCACAGTGTGGTTCTGTGTGTGTGTGTCCACAGTGTGGTTCTGTGTGTGTGTGTCCACAGTGTGGTTCTGTGTGTGTGTGTCCACAGTGTGGTTCTGTGTGTGTGTGTCCACAGTGTGGTTCTGTGTGTGTGTGTCCACAGTGTGGTTCTGTGTGTGTGTGTCCACAGTGTGGTTCTGTGTGTGTGTGTCCACAGTGTGGTTCTGTGTGTGTGTGTCCACAGTGTGGTTCTGTGTGTGTGTGTCCACAGTGTGGTTCTGTGTGTGTGTGTCCACAGTGTGGTCTGTCTGTGTGTGTCCACGTGTGGTGGTCCACAGTGTGGTCCTGTGTGTGTGTGTCCACAGTGTGGTTCTGTGTGTGTGTGTGTCCACAGTGTGGTTCTGTGTGTGTGTGTCCACAGTGTGGTTGTGTGTGTGTGTCTGTGTGTGTGTGTGTGTCCACAGTGTGGTTCTGTGTGTGTGTGTCCACAGTGTGGTTCTGTGTGTGTGTGTCCACAGTGTGGTTCTGTGTGTGTGTGTCCACAGTGTGGTTCTGTGTGTGTGTGTCCACAGTGTGGTTCTGTGTGTGTGTGTCCACAGTGTGGTTCTGTGTGTGTGTGTCCACAGTGTGGTTCTGTGTGTGTGTGTCCACAGTGTGGTTCTGTGTGTGTGTGTCCACAGTGTGGTTCTGTGTGTGTGTGTCCACAGTGTGGTTCTGTGTGTGTGTGTCCACAGTGTGGTTCTGTGTGTGTGTGTCCACAGTGTGGTCCTGTGTGCAGTTCCATGTGTGTCCACAGGGGGCGCTGTGGTTCGTTCTGATCCTAAAGTCTCTTTATTCTGCAGCATTCTTTTCGCAGACGTCAAAGGTTTCACAAACCTGTCGACGACGCTGTCGGCGCAGGAGCTGGTGCGAATGCTCAACGAACTGTTCGCACGCTTCGACCGCCTCGCACACGTGAGTCCAGACCTGGACCAGGACCAGGACCAGGACCAGGACCCGCACTGAGACCAGGACTGGGGTCAGGGCCAGGGCCAGGACTGAGACCAGGACCTGGACCAGGACCCGCACTGAGACCAGGACTGGGGTCAGGGCCAGGGCCAGGACTGAGACCAGGACCTGTTGTGTGTATGTATGTATGTGTGTATGTGTGTGTGTATGTGTGTGTATGTGTGTGTGTACGTGTGTGTATGTGTGTGTATGTGTGTGTGTGTGTGTGTATGTGTGTATGTGTGTGTGTACGTGTGTGTATGTGTGTGTATGTGTGTGTGTACGTGTGTGTATGTGTGTGTATGTGTGTGTGTACGTGTGTGTATGTGTGTGTATGTGTGTGTGTACGTGTGTGTATGTGTGTGTGTGTGTGTGTTACCATCAGTGACCTGTTGTGTGTGTGTGTGTTACCATCAGTGACCTGTTGTGTGTGTGTGTGTGTTACCATCAGTGACCTGTTGTGTGTGTGTGTGTGTGTGTGTGTTTACCATCAGTGACCTGTTGTGTGTGTGTTACCATCAGTGACCTGTTGTGTGTGTGTGTGTGTGTTACCATCAGTGACCTGTTGTGTGTGTGTGTGTGTTACCATCAGTGACCTGTTGTGTGTGTGTGTGTGTGTTACCATCAGTGACCTGTTGTGTGTGTGTGTGTGTGTTACCATCAGTGACCTGTTGTGTGTGTGTGTGTTACCATCAGTGACCTGTTGTGTGTGTGTGTGTTTACCATCAGTGACCTGTTGTGTGTGTGTGTTACCATCAGTGACCTGTTGTGTGTGTGTGTGTGTGTTACCATCAGTGACCTGTTGTGTGTGTGTGTTACCATCAGTGACCTGTTGTGTGTGTGTGTTTACCATCAGTGACCTGTTGTGTGTGTGTGTGTGTGTGTGTTACCATCAGTGACCTGTTGTGTGTGTGTGTGTGTGTGTGTGTGTTACCATCAGTGACCTGTTGTGTGTGTGTGTGTGTGTGTGTTACCATCAGTGACCTGTTGTGTGTGTGTGTGTGTGTTACCATCAGTGACCTGTTGTGTGTATGTGTGTGTGTGTGTTACCATCAGTGACCTGTTGTGTGTGTGTTACCATCAGTGACCTGTTGTGTGTGTGTGTGTTACCATCAGTGACCTGTTGTGTGTGTGTGTGTGTTACCATCAGTGACCTGTTGTGTGTGTGTGCGTGTTACCATCAGTGACCTGTTGTGTGTGTGTGTGTGTGTGTGTGTGTACCATCAGTGACCTGTTGTGTGTGTGTGTGTTACCATCAGTGACCTGTTGTGTGTGTGTGCGTGTTACCATCAGTGACCTGTTGTGTGTGTGTGTGTGTGTGTGTGTTACCATCAGTGACCTGTTGTGTGTGTGTGTTACCATCAGTGACCTGTTGTGTGTGTGTGTGTGTGTGTGTGTGTGTTACCATCAGTGACCTGTTGTGTGTGTGTGTGTGTGTGTGTGTGTTACCATCAGTGACCTGTTGTGTGTGTGTGTGTTACCATCAGTGACCTGTTGTGTGTGTGTGTGTTACCATCAGTGACCTGTTGTGTGTGTGTGTGTTACCATCAGTGACCTGTTGTGTGTGTGTGTGTGTGTGTGTTACCATCAGTGACCTGTTGTGTGTGTGTGTGTTACCATCAGTGACCTGTTGTGTGTGTGTGTGTTACCATCAGTGACCTGTTGTGTGTGTGTGTTACCATCAGTGACCTGTTGTGTGTGTGTGTGTTACCATCAGTGACCTGTTGTGTGTGTGTGTTACCATCAGTGACCTGTTGTGTGTGTGTTACCATCAGTGACCTGTTGTGTGTGTGTGTGTTACCATCAGTGACCTGTTGTGTGTGTGTGTGTGTGTTACCATCAGTGACCTGTTGTGTGTGTGTGTGTTTACCATCAGTGACCTGTTGTGTGTGTGTGTGTTACCATCAGTGACCTGTTGTGTGTGTGTGTTACCATCAGTGACCTGTTGTGTGTGTGTGTGTGTGTTACCATCAGTGACCTGTTGTGTGTGTGTGTGTTACCATCAGTGACCTGTTGTGTGTGTGTGTTACCATCAGTGACCTGTTGTGTGTGTGTGTGTGTGTGTGTGTTACCATCAGTGACCTGTTGTGTGTGTGTGTGTGTGTGTGTGTGTTACCATCAGTGACCTGTTGTGTGTGTGTGTGTGTGTGTGTTACCATCAGTGACCTGTTGTGTGTGTGTGTGTGTGTGTTACCATCAGTGACCTGTTGTGTGTATGTGTGTGTGTGTGTTACCATCAGTGACCTGTTGTGTGTGTGTTACCATCAGTGACCTGTTGTGTGTGTGTGTGTTACCATCAGTGACCTGTTGTGTGTGTGTGTGTGTTACCATCAGTGACCTGTTGTGTGTGTGTGCGTGTTACCATCAGTGACCTGTTGTGTGTGTGTGTGTGTGTGTGTGTTACCATCAGTGACCTGTTGTGTGTGTGTGTGTTACCATCAGTGACCTGTTGTGTGTGTGTGCGTGTTACCATCAGTGACCTGTTGTGTGTGTGTGTGTGTGTGTGTGTGTTACCATCAGTGACCTGTTGTGTGTGTGTGTTACCATCAGTGACCTGTTGTGTGTGTGTGTGTGTGTGTGTGTGTGTTACCATCAGTGACCTGTTGTGTGTATGTGTGTGTGTGTGTTACCATCAGTGACCTGTTGTGTGTGTGTGTGTGTTACCATCAGTGACCTGTTGTGTGTGTGTGTGTGTGTGTGTGTTACCATCAGTGACCTGTTGTGTGTGTGTTACCATCAGTGACCTGTTGTGTGTGTGTGTGTGTTACCATCAGTGACCTGTTGTGTGTGTGTGTGTGTGTGTGTTACCATCAGTGACCTGTTGTGTGTGTGTGTGTGTGTGTGTTACCATCAGTGACCTGTTGTGTGTGTGTGTGTGTGTGTGTTACCATCAGTGACCTGTTGTGTGTGTGTGTGTGTGTGTGTGTTACCATCAGTGACCTGTTGTGTGTGTGTGTGTTACCATCAGTGACCTGTTGTGTGTGTGTGTGTTACCATCAGTGACCTGTTGTGTGTGTGTGTGTTTACCATCAGTGACCTGTTGTGTGTGTGTGTGTGTGTGTGTTACCATCAGTGACCTGTTGTGTGTGTGTGTGTTACCATCAGTGACCTGTTGTGTGTGTGTGTGTTACCATCAGTGACCTGTTGTGTGTGTGTGTTACCATCAGTGACCTGTTGTGTGTGTGTTGTGTGTGTGTGTTACCATCAGTGACCTGTTGTGTGTGTGTGTTACCATCAGTGACCTGTTGTGTGTGTGTGTTACCATCAGTGACCTGTTGTGTGTGTGTGTGTGTTACCATCAGTGACCTGTTGTGTGTGTGTGTTACCATCAGTGACCTGTTGTGTGTGTGTGTGTGTGTGTGTTACCATCAGTGACCTGTTGTGTGTGTGTGTGTGTGTTACCATCAGTGACCTGTTGTGTGTGTGTGTTACCATCAGTGACCTGTTGTGTGTGTGTGTGTGTGTGTGTGTGTGTTACCATCAGTGACCTGTTGTGTGTGTGTGTTTACCATCAGTGACCTGTTGTGTGTGTGTGTGTGTGTGTGTGTGTGTTACCATCAGTGACCTGTTGTGTGTGTGTGTGTTACCATCAGTGACCTGTTGTGTGTGTGTTACCATCAGTGACCTGTTGTGTGTGTGTGTGTTACCATCAGTGACCTGTTGTGTGTGTGTGTGTTTACCATCAGTGACCTGTTGTGTGTGTGTGTGTGTTTACCATCAGTGACCTGTTGTGTGTGTGTTACCATCAGTGACCTGTTGTGTGTGTGTGTGTTACCATCAGTGACCTGTTGTGTGTGTGTGTGTGTGTGTGTGTGTTACCATCAGTGACCTGTTGTGTGTGTGTGTGTTACCATCAGTGACCTGTTGTGTGTGTGTGTGTGTGTTACCATCAGTGACCTGTTGTGTGTGTGTGTGTTACCATCAGTGACCTGTTGTGTGTGTGTGTGTTACCATCAGTGACCTGTTGTGTGTGTGTGTGTGTGTGTGTGTGTGTTACCATCAGTGACCTGTTGTGTGTGTGTGTGTTACCATCAGTGACCTGTTGTGTGTGTGTGTGTGTGTTACCATCAGTGACCTGTTGTGTGTGTGTGTGTTACCATCAGTGACCTGTTGTGTGTGTGTGTGTTACCATCAGTGACCTGTTGTGTGTGTGTGTGTGTGTGTGTGTGTGTTACCATCAGTGACCTGTTGTGTGTCTGCAGGAGCACCACTGTCTGAGGATCAAGATCTTGGGCGACTGTTATTATTGTGTGTCCGGTCTCCCAGAGCCACGCCCTGACCACGCCCACTGCTGCGTGGAGATGGGCCTCAGCATGATCAAGACCATCAGGTGAGGACCGGATTGAGGCCTGAGGCCTGGACCAGGGCTGGACCAGGGCTAGACCAGGGCTGAGGCCTGGACCAGGGCTGGACCAGGGCTGGACCAGGGCTGGACCAGGGCTGAGGGCTGGACCAGGGCTGGACCAGGGCTGGACCAGGGCTGGACCAGGGCTGAGGGCTGGACCAGGGCTGGACCAGGGCTGGACCAGGGCTGAGGCCTGGACCAGGGCTGGACCAGGGCTGGACCAGGGCTGGACCAGGGCTGAGGCCTGGACCAGGGCTGGACCAGGGCTGGACCAGGGCTGAGGCCTGGACCAGGGCTGGACCAGGGCTGGACCAGGGCTGGACCAGGGCTGAGGCCTGGACCAGGGCTGGACCAGGGCTGGACCAGGGCTGGACCAGGGCTGAGGGCTGGACCAGGGCTGGACCAGGGCTGGACCAGGGCTGGACCAGGGCTGAGGGCTGGACCAGGGCTGGACCAGGGCTGGACCAGGGCTGAGGCCTGGAGGGAGGGGGAGGCTCTGAGGCTTTCCATTTGCTCTGTTTTAATGATAACAGTGAGATCATGTGGAGACGGTCGGAATGAAAACCTGCTCTGACCTTCACCGTTCACAAAGAGAGCAGCTAAAGCTAACTGAGAGCGGCTAAAGCTAACTGAGAGCAGCTAAAGCTAACTGAGAGCAGCTAAAGCTAACTGAGAGCGGCTAAAGCTAACTGAGAGCGGCTAAAGCTAACTGAGAGCGGCTAAAGCTAACTGAGAGCGGCTAAAGCTAACTGAGAGCGGCTAAAGCTAACTGAGAGCGGCTAAAGCTAACTGAGAGCGGCTAAAGCTAACTGAGAGCGGCTAAAGCTAACTGAGAGCGGCTAAAGCTAACTGAGAGCAGCTAAAGCTAACTGAGAGCGGCTAAAGCTAACAGTGCTCATTAAAGGGGACATACATCTGTTCTCCTGGTTTCCGTTATATAGAACCTTTCACAGTGGGACCAGGGGACTCACCCAGACACTCATAAATAGGTCCCGCTCTCCCTCTGGTACTGGCCCTGGTCTCCCTCTGGTACTGGCCCTGGTCTCCCTCTGGTACTGGCCCTGGTCTCTCTCTGGTCCTGGTCCCATCCTAATCCGGGTCTTGGTCCATGACCAGAGTCACTGTAACCAAGGAGTCTTTGTGCAGATGTTAAAGGCAATGACCATGTGTGAGTGTCTTCTGTGACTCACCCTCTGCTTCCCCCTTGCCCCTCCCCCCTGCTGCCCCCCCTGCCCTCCCCCCTCCCCCTCGCTGCCCCCCTCCTGCCCTCTGCCCCCCTATGCACTCCCTCTCCTACCCCCGCCCCCCCTGCCCTCCCCCTCTCCCGCCTGCCCTCCCCCACTGCCCCTGCCCCCCCCCCCCCACCCCCCCCCCCTCCTCTCCCCCACGCTCCCCCCTGCCCCCCCCCCCCCCCCCCCACCCCCACTCCCTCCCCCACCTGCCTCACCCTCCGACCCTGCCCCCCCTGCTCCCCACCCCCCCCTCCCCACCCCCCCCCCCCTCCACCCCCCACCCCCCCCTCCCCCTCCCCCCCCCTACTCCCCCCCTGCCAGCCCTCCCCCAACCCCCTGCTACCTCTCCCCCCTCTCCCCTGAGCGTCCCCCCCCCTCGCCCCCACCCTCTGCTTCCCCCACTCTGCCCCTCCCCCCTTCTGCCTCCCCCCCCCCCTGCTCCCTCCCCCCCTCGCCACCCCTTGCCGCCCCCCCCTGCTGCCCCCCCCCTCCCCCCTCCCCCTGCCCCCCTCCCCTGCCCCCCCCCCTCCCTCCCCTGCCCCCCCCCTCCCTCCCCTCCCCCTCCCTCCCCCATCTGCCCCCCTTCCTCCCCCCTCCCCCGCCCCCCCCCCTCCCTCCCCCTCCCTCCCCCTGCCCCCCCCCCCCGCCTCCCTCCGCCCTCCCCCCCCCCTCCTCTCCCTGCACCTCCCCCCCTTCCCCCCTCTCCCCCGCCCCTCCCACCCCCCCCTTGCACTTCCCCTCCCCCTCCCCCCGCCTCCCCCTTGCCCCCCCCCGCCCCCCCTCCCCTCCCTCCTACCCCCCCTGCTGCCCCCTCCCCCCCCTGCCTCCCCCCCCTCCCCTCAGCCTCCCCTGCTCCTCCCTCTTCTCCTCCCCTGCCCCCCCCGCCTCCCCTGCCCCTCTCCTCCCCCCTGCTCCTCTCCCCGCCCCCCCCTCTGCCCTCCCCCCTGCTCCTCCCTGCCCTGCCCCCCCTGCCTCCACCTGCTCCCCCTGCCTCCCCCTCCCCCTCCCTCCCTCGCTGCCCCCCCCCCTCGCCCTCCCCCTCCCTCCTGCCCTGCTCCCCCTCCTCTGCCCTCCCCCGCCTCCCCCTCCCTCCCCCCCTGCCTCCCCTCGCCTCCCTCCTGCCTCCCCCCTCCCCTCCCCTCCTCCCCCTGCCCCCTCCCTCCCTCGCCTCCCCCCTGCCTCCCCCTCCCTCCCCCTCCCTGCCCCCCCCTGCTCCCTCCTCCCTCCCCCTGCCTCCCTCCCTGGCCCCTCCCCCTCGCTGCCTTCCCCCTGGCCTCCCCTCCTCCCTCCCCCTAGCCTCCCCCTGCCTCCCCCTCTCCTCCCCTCCCTGCCTCCCCCTGCCCCCCCTGCTCCCTCCCTCCTCCCTCCCCCTGCCCCCCACCCCTCCCCCCCTCCCCTCGCCTCCTCCTCCCCCCTGCCCTCCCCCTCCCCTGCCTCCCCCCCTGCCCCCTGCTCCCCCCCCTCCCCTCCCCCCTGCCTACCCCCTCCCCCCTCTCCTCCCCCCTCCCCCTCTCCCCCTCCCTCCCCCTCCTGCCCCCCTGCCTCCCCCCCTGCTCCTCGCCCTCCCCTGCCCCCCCCTGCCTCCCCCCTCCCCCTCTCCCCTGCCTCCCCTCCGCTCCCCCCCTCTCCCCTCCCCTCCCTCCTCCCCCCTCCCCCCCCCCCCTCCCTGCCCCTCCTGCCCCCCGCCTCCTCCCTCCTCCCCTCCGCCCCCCCCCCTCCTTCCCCTGCCTCCCCCTCCCCTGCCTCCCCCTCCCCTCCCCTGCCCCTTCCCCTGCCTCCCCTCCGCCCCTGCCCCTCCTCCCCCGCCTCCCCCTCCTGCCTCCTCCCCCTGCCCCCCTCCCCTCTCCTCCTTCTCCCCCCCTCCCTCCTCCCCCTCCCCCCCCCCTCCCCTCCTCCCTCCCCTCCTGCCCCCTCCCCCTCCCCCCTGCCCTCCTCCCTCTCCCCCTCCTGCCTCCCCCCTGCCCCCCCTCCTCCCTTCCCCTCCCTCCTGCCTCCCCCCTGCCCTCCCCCCCCTCCTGCCTCCCCCCTGCCCTCCCCCCCCTGCCCCCTCCCCCTCCCCTCCCCCCTGCCCCCCCCTCTGCCCCCCCCCCGCCCTCCCCCTCCCCCCCTCTTCCTCTCCCGCCCCCCCTCCCCCTCCCTCCCCCTCCCCCTCCCCTCCTCCCCCCTCCTCCCCCTCTTGCCCTCCACCCCCTCCTGCCTCCCCTCCTGCCCCCTGTCCTCCCCCCGCCTCCCCCTCCCCTCCCCCCTCCCCCCTCCTCCTCCCTGCCCCCCCCTGCCCTCCACCCTCCTCCCCCCTGCTCCTGCCCCTGTCCCCTCCCCCTCCCCCCTGCTCCCCCCTCCTCCTCCCTCTCGCTCCCCCTCCCCCTCTCCTCCCCCTGCCTTCCCCCCTGCCTCCCCCTGCCCCCCCCCCCTGCCCCCCCTTGCCTCCCCCTGCCTCCCCCTCCTGCCTCCCCCCTGCCTCCCCCTAAGCCTCCCCCCTCCGCCGCCCTGCCTCCCCCTGCCTCCCCCATGCCTCCCTCCTGCCTCCCTCCCCACCCCTGCTCCCCCCCCGCCGGCCTCCCCCCTGCCTCCCCCCTGACCTGCCTCCCCCTCATGCCATCCCCCTGCCTAGCCCCTGCCTCCCCCTCTGCCCCACCCCTGCCTCCCCCCCGCTGACCTCCCCCCCTGCCTCCCCCTGCCTCCCCCCTACTGCCTCCCCCTCGGCCTCCCCCTCTGATCTGCCTCCCCCTCGCCTCCCCCCTGCCTCCCCTTGCCTCCCTCTGTATCCTCCCCTGCCTCCCCCTGACCTCCCCCTCCATGCCCTCCCCCTGCCTCCCTCTGCCTCACCCCCTGGCCTCCCCCCTGGGTCTCAGGTATGAGCGCTCGCGCGCTCCAATCGACCAGGCATGACATCGACATGAGGAACGGGGATCCACTCGGCCTCCGTTCCACTGTGGGGGTCACTGGGAATCAGGATTAGCAGTTAGAGTGGCTTGCAGTTAGAGAAGTATGGTCCCTGGGGACGTGGACATCGCTAACGATAGCCGGATGTCTGGAGGCAATCCCAGGGTGAGGAGGGGGAGGTGGGAGGAGGGGAGGGGTGAGGAGGGGGGTGGGGAGGGGGAGGTCGGAGGGAGGTGGGGTGGGAGGGGTGAGGGGGAGCGAGGCGGAGGGGGGGTGAGGAGTGGAGGGAGGGTGAGGGGTGAGGAAGGGGGAGGGGCGGAGGGTGAGGCGAGGAGGGGTGAGGAGTGGGAGGGTGAGGAGGGAGGGAGAGGGGGTGAGGAGGGGGGAGGGAGGGGGAGGAGGGGGAGGGGAGGAGGGGGAGGAGGGGGAGAGGTGGTGAGGGAGGGAGGGAGGTGAGGGCGTGAGGAGGGGGGGAGGGTGAGGGGTGAGGAGGGGATGGGGGGATGAGGAGGGGGAGGAGGGGGAGGGGTTCGGGGAGGGAGGGAGGGAAGGGGGTGGAGGGAGGGGAGGGGCGGGAGGGAGGGAGGGGGAGGGGTGAGGAGGGAGGGAGGGTGGAGGGGTGGAGGGAGGGGGTGAGGAGGGAGGGGAGGAGGGAGAGGGTGGAGGGGGAGGATGGGGGGAGGCGGAGGGTGGAGAGGCGTGGAGGAGGGGGGGTGAGGAGGGGTGAGGAGGGGGGAGGGGTGAGGAGGAGAGGGGGGCGGGAGGGCGTGAGGGAGAGGAGGGGTGTGAGGAGGGAAGGGGAGGGTGAGGGGGAGGAAGGTGGGTGCGTGAGGGATGGAGGAGGGGGTGAGGGAGCGGGATTGGGAGGCGGAGGAGGTGAGGGAGGAGGTAGGCGGAGGTTGAGGAGCGGGAGGAGGTGGGGTTTGAGGAGGGAGGGGTGAGGAGGGGGAGGGGTGAGGGAGAGGAGGGAGGCGGGGAGGCTGAGGGGGTGAGCGCGGATGGGGGGTGCGGAGGGGGAGGGGTGAAGGGAGGAGGGGGGCGCAGGGTAGTGAGGAGGGGGGGAAGGGGTGTGGCGTATGAGGAGGGGTGAGGAAGGGAGGGAGGAGGAGGGGCCGTGAGGATGGGATCGCGAACGTGGAGGGTGAGGGTGTGAGGGAGGGATCGGGGGAGAGGAGGGAGGGGAGGGGGAGGGGCGTGAAGGAGGGAAGTAATGATGGTTGCTATTAAACAGGAATTTGTGACAGTTTCACTCTGAGGGGTCTCTGATGACTCGCTCCTTTTGCTCCGCTGCTCCCTCCTCCTGCTCCTGCTCCCTCCTGCTCCCTACCCTTCTGGCTTCCTCTTCCCTGTCTGCTTACTCCCTCACCCTCCTGCATACCTCCCTGTTCTCCTGCTAACCTTCTGCTCCTTCCTGCTCCTCTCTGCTCCCTGCTCCTCCTGCTTCCTTCTGCTCCTTGGCTCCTCCTGCTCCTGCTCCTCCTTTGCTCCAACTCCCCTGCTCCTTTCTCTGCTCTGCACCCCCCTGCCCTGAATCCTTGCTCCTCTCCCCCTGTGCTTCTGTCTCTTCTCCTGCTCCTTCATTGCTCCTGCTTCCTTGCTCCTCCTCTTTCCTGCCATTTCCTCCTTTGCTCCTTCCTGACTTTTCCTTCTTCCTGCCTTCTCTCCTGCTCCTTTCTCTTGCTCCTGCTTTCCTTCCTGCACCTCCTTCCTGCTCTGCTTCCTCACTGCTCCTCCTGCACCTGCTCCTCCTGCTTCCTCTCCTGCACCTCCTATTGCTTCCTTCTCTTCTTCTTGCTACCTTCTGCTCTCTTTTCTCCTCCTGCTCGCACTTCCTCCTCTTCTGCTACCTTCTGCCTTTATGCCTCCTGCTTCTCCATCTCCTCCTGCTCCTGCCTTCTGCTCCTTCTGCTCCAATGGAGTAACGCTCCTCCTGCCTTCCTTCTGAGCCTTGCTCCTCCTGCTACCTGCTACTCATCTGCTCCTGCTGCTGGCTCATCTGCATACCTCTGCTTCCTTCTGCTGCCTGCTGACCACTTGCTATCCTTCTTGCTCCAGCTGCCGTGACCTACCTGCAGGGAGGATCCCTCTCTAAAGAAAGGCGAAGCAAAGAAGCGCTAAAAGCGACAACTAAAAAAGCGGACCCCTGGGACGGTCTGTAGCGGAAGACAACGGAAGGTGGAGGAGGGACACGCAAAAGAAAAATAACAAAACAGACGGCAAAGACCTAACGAGGTTTCCTACCGCTGCGCGACACAACATCGAGACGTTTCTGATCCTGCAGCCGGAGGAGAGCGGCCTGACTCCTCCTGAGGACATCATGAAGGAGGCGGGAGGAGGCGCAGACCGCAGAGCCAGCACCGCCTCCTTCAACGAGGCCTCATGGAGCCCAGAACTGCCCTTCGACAACATCATGGGGAAGCAGAACGTGAGTCTCCCCTTCTGTCTCCCCCTCTGTCTCACCCTCTGACTCACCCTCTGACTCACCCTCTGACTCACCCTCTGGCTCACCCTCTGTCTCACCCTCTGTCTCACCCTCTGTCTCACCCTCTGACTCACCCTCTGACTCACCCTCTGACTTTCTGGTCCTTTGTCCCCCTTGCGTCAAATTCACACCGCGGGTAGCCCGGGATCAGGGGAGTCCTTGGGTCCAACCCCCGTGTTCTCTACCCCCTTGGGCTCGGCTTTGAGGATCCCGGAAAGCGGGGCTTTCTTCCCCCGGGAATGGGCGCCCAGGCCCGGATCTGAGCGGGAGCAAAGCCCGCCCCGGTGGTAGCCCAGGTCCGGAGGAGTGCGTGGGTGAAAACCCCGTGTCCCTAGCCCTTATGGTTCGTTTTCTACGAGCCCTGGAAGCCGAGGTTATCCTCCCCCAGAATGAGCGCTCTTGGGCGGGTGGCAGACGCGTGGTTTCCAAGGGCCATAACTTTCTGGTCCTTTGTCCCCCTTGCGTCAAATTCACACCGCGGGTAGCCCGGGATCAGGGGAGTCCTTGGGTCCAACCCCCGTGTCTCTACCCCCTTGGGCTCGGCTTTGAGGATCCCGGAAAGCGGGGCTTTCTTCCCCCGGGAATGGGCGCCCAGGCCCGGATCTGAGCGGGAGCAAAGCCCGCCCCGGTGGTAGCCCAGGTCCGGAGGAGTGCGTGGGTGAAAACCCCGTGTCCCTAGCCCTTATGGTTTGTTTTCTACGGCTTCCCCACACCTAACCTCGACCCCCCTGGAGATCCAGGCCTTCCCCACACCTAACCTTAACCCCCATGGGGATCCAGGCGTTCCCCACACCTAACCTTAACCCCCATGGAGATCCAGGCCGCCCCCCACGCCTGCACATAGCCCCCCTGGAGGTCCAGGCCTTCCCCACACCTAACCTTAACCCCCATGGAGACCCAGGCCCTCCCCACACCTAACCTTAACCCCCATGGAGATCCAGGCCCTCCCCACACCTAACCTTAACCCCTACGGAGATCCAGGCCCTCCCCACACCTAACCTTAACCCCCATGGAGATCCAGGCCTTCCCCACACCTAACCATAACCCCCATAGAGAACCAGGCCGCCCCCCACGCCTGCACATAGCCCCCCTGGAGGTCCAGGCCTTCCCCACACCTAACCTTAACCCCCATGGAGGTCCAGGCCTTCCCCACACCTAACCTTAACCCCCATAGAGATCCAGGCCTTCCCCACACCTAACCTTAACCCCCAAGGAGATCCAGGCCGCCCCCACGCCTGCACATAGCCCCCCTGGAGGTCCAGGCCTTCCCCACACCTAACCTTAACCCCCATGGAGACCCAGGCCCTCCCCAGACCTAACCCTAACCGGTCTGGAGGTCCTGGTAGCCCCCACACATGAACATAGCCCCCCTGGAGAACCAGGCCTTTCCCACCCCTCAGCCTACAAATCAGCCTAAGTGTTTTGCCAAAAAACCTAAGTGTCTATGCTGTAGTACTGGGCTCGCTGTGGCCGAGTGGCAAAGGCGATGGAATGGGGAGTCATTGAGGTCCTCCCACGCAGGTTCGAATCCTGCCCACAGCACTTAGAATTATTTTCACATTTGCTTGGAGCACCAGGCCTGTGATGGCTCTATTTCAAGCCGTACTTCAGGGCTTTTTTCGGGGTTAAAACCTCCGAGGACCCCCCCTGGGTCTCAGGCTTTCCAGTGCTGCATTTATGTCCGGATTTCTAAGCTTTTTTCGGGGATAGAACCTCCACAGAATCCCCTCGGTTCTGGGACCCGCATGGCCCTATTTTAAGCCGGATTTAAGGGCTTTTTTCGGGGTTAAAACCTCCGAGGACCCCCCTGGGTCTCAGGCTTTCCAGTGCTGCATTTATGTCCGGATTTCTGTCCGGATTTCTAAGCTTTTTTCGGGGATAGAACCTCCACAGAATCCCCTCGGTTCTGGGACCCGCATGGCCCTATTTTAAGCCGGATTTAAGGGCTTTTTTCGGGGTTAAAACCTCCGAGGACCCCCCTGGGTCTCTGGCTTTCCAGTGCTGCATTTATGTCCGGATTTCTAAGCTTTTTTCGGGGATAGAACCTCCACAGAATCCCCCCGGTTCTGGGACCCGCATGGCCCTATTTTAAGCCGGATTTAAGGGCTTTTTTCGGGGTTAAAACCTCCAGGGACTCCCCTTGGTTCTGGGACCTGTCATTGCTCTTTTTCAAGACAAATTTCATGCGCTCTCTCCCCCGGCAGCAACACTGCCCCCGGCGGCAGCAGTGAGGAACTGCACTCTGTTCATTTAACAAAGAAAATCTCTGACAAAAGGAGCAGAACCATCAGAGACAGAACCATCAGAACCAGCAGAACCATCAACACCATCAGAACAATCAGAGACAGAACCAGCAGAACCATCAACACCATCAGAACAATCAGAGACAGAACCATCAGAACCATCAACACCATCAGAACCAGCAGAACCATCAACAACAATCAGAGACAGAACCATCAACACCATCAACAACAATCAGAGACAGAACCATCAACACCATCAGAACCAGCAGAACCATCAACAACAATCAGAGACAGAACCATCAGAACCATCAACACCATCAGAACCAGCAGAACCATCAGAACCATCAGAGACAGAACCATCAACACCATCAGAGACAGGACCATCAACACCATCAGAACAATCTGAGACAGAACCATCAGAACCATGAACACCATCAGAACAATCAGAGACAGAACCATCAACACCATCAGAACCAGCAGAACCATAAACACCTTCAGAACAATCAGAGACAGAACCATCAACACCATCAGAGACAGAACCATCAGAACAATCTGAGACAGAACCATCAACACCATCAGAACAATCAGAGACAGAACCATCAACACCATCAGAACAATCAGAGACAGAACCATCAACACCATCAGAACAATCAGAGACAGAACCATCAACACCATCAGAGACAGAACCATCAGAACAATCTGAGACAGAACCATCAACACCATCAGAACCATCAGAACAATCAGAGACAGAACCATCAGAACCATCAACACCATCAGAACCGACAGAACCATCAGAACCATCAAACCATCGAGTGGTTGGTTCTGTGTGGGTCTGAGTGGGTCTGAGTGAGTCTGTGTGGGTCTGAGTGGGTCTGAGTGGGTCTGAGTGGGTCTGTGTGGGTCTGTGTGGGTCTGTGTGGGTCTGTGTGGGTCTGTGTGGGTCTGAGTGGGTCTGTGTGGGTCTGAGTGGGTCTGTGTGGGTCTGAGTGGGTCTGAGTGGGTCTGTGTGGGTCTGAGTGGGTCTGTGTGGGTCTGAGTGGGTCTGAGTGAGTCTGAGTGAGTCTGAGTGAGTCTGTGTGGGTCTGTGTGGGTCTGTGTGGGTCTGAGTGGGTCTGTGTGGGTCTGTGTGGGTCTGAGTGGGTCTGTGTGGGTCTGAGTGGGTCTGAGTGGGTCTGTGTGGGTCTGAGTGGGTCTGTGTGGGTCTGAGTGGGTCTGAGTGAGTCTGAGTGAGTCTGAGTGAGTCTGTGTGGGTCTGAGTGGGTCTGAGTGGGTCTGTGTGGGTCTGAGTGAGTCTGAGTGGGTCTGTGTGGGTCTGAGTGGGTCTGAGTGAGTCTGAGTGAGTCTGAGTGAGTCTGTGTGGGTCTGAGTGGGTCTGAGTGGGTCTGTGTGGGTCTGAGTGGGTCTGTGTGGGTCTGAGTGGGTCTGAGTGAGTCTGAGTGAGTCTGTGTGGGTCTGAGTGGGTCTGAGTGGGTCTGTGTGGGTCTGAGTGGGTCTGAGTGGGTCTGTGTGGGTCTGAGTGGGTCTGAGTGGGTCTGTGTGGGTCTGAGTGGGTCTGAGTGAGTCTGTGTGGGGTCTGAGTGGGTCTGAGTGGGTCTGTGTGGGTCTGAGTGGGTCTGAGTGGGTCTGTGTGGGTCTGAGTGGGTCTGAGTGGGTTCTGAATGGGTCTGAGTGGGTCTGAGTGGGTCTGAGTGGGTCTGTGGGGGTCTGAGTGGGTCTGAGTGGGTCTGAGTGGAGCATCTGAGGTGAGTCTGGAGCCTCCCCAGGGCCTGACTCACTTTCAGCCCAGGACCGAGCATCGATTCTGGGTTATTTCTGCTCAGAGTCCTGGGACCTGCTCCAGTGTCACTGTCTCTCCAAAGTCAGACCAGACGCAAATAGCACCAACCCAGACCATAAACAAGGACTGGACCAGGTCTGAACCAGGTCTGAACCAGGTCTGAACCAGGACTGGGCCAGGACTGGACCAGGTCTGAACCAGGTCTGAACCAGGACTGGACCAGGACTGGACCAGGTCTGAACCAGGACTGGACCAGGACTGACCAGGTCTGAACCAGGTCTGAACCAGGACTGAACCAGGTCTGTATGAAAAGGTGTCATGGGCTTCTCCACAGCCTTCACCTCAGATGCAGACCATGGCTTTCTCTAACGTTCTAGGGAGAGAAATAAAAATATATTAGCAATATACACTCCCAGGGTGAGGACCAAGCAGCCTGGCTGTAATCCCCCACCTGGTACACTTACCAGAAGGGGCACTGCCACTACCATGGGGTGCATCTGGATGAATGGTTGAAGGTTCTCCGCTTGAAGTTTCTTTTAGCCCGTTCGTTTGTGAGAGGATCTCTACTGCTCTCCCTGTCGCACAGAAAATAAAAATACAAGTGGCCTTTAGGGGAAAAAAATCATACATATTTTAATAATATCAAGAATTACCTTCAGGCTCAATTTGTATCTGGTCGAGGCTCTTTTCTTCGAATTCCGTCACTCTTCCCTGCTCCATGGCCATCAACACTTTGCTGATTTTGGCCAGCTCCAGCGCCCCCTCTGGTAGTCTGTAATATTGCCTGTGGATGCGAATGTCATGGCCGAGGAAGTTGGCAAGTATGTCCATCTCATTCTCTTTCATATTGAGAACTGTAGACATAGTAGCTATGTGCTTTCTAAGTTTGGTTGAGGATAGCATCTCTGGATGCACCGCACCACATTCTTTGGCTACCTGGCGTAGGGAGTCTGATCCCCTGATGTGGGTGTCTGCGCCCGGGCGGGAAAAGAAGTATGGGTTATGGTCAGAGATGGAACAGGCCCTTCTGTTCTCCACCAGCACCTCCATCCAAGCAATCATTTCAGGAGTCAAAAGAACCACCACTTTCCCACTTCTTTTCCCTTTAATTTCAATGCGTTGAAAATGCTGACACAGCTTTTTCTCAAGTTGGGACAGTCCCAGAGCAATGTCAGAATGGATCCCAGTCTTACTTCTTAAGGTAAAGGCTGTCAGTGGCATCTTTGAAACCTCACCTTCCCTTCTTCGATTGAAAATAATGACCTCACAAAGAGTCAAAACTGCCAGTTTAGACCAATGCTTAGACGTTGGCTCACTTATTAGGGTTTGCACATATTCAGGTCGACATACCTCAATATGTGCATGCATGGCTCTAACGTCCTCAGTCAGAGGGAGCAGGTCCGGAGTGTTCCACTTGGCTTGCCGGAGGGTCTGTAGGGCAGCAGAAGAAACACAGACGTCCCACCTCTTCTCAAAAAGCAGCCGGCTTCGTTGGAACACAATGCTCCATTTTTGAGTCACATTCAAGAATATCTGCTAGCTTTCTGAGGCTATGGCCGAGTTTGAGGGCCAAGGATGGAGTCTTGTATTGATTTGTTTCCTCATCATATCCAGCCACAGACCTGACTGCATCAATCACATGGTTAAAGTTGGAAGGAATAAAGAAATCCTTAATTGTTTTCAGTTTCCCTGCGGTTTTTGCTTCGTTAATTAACCTACCGACTTCTCTCATTTTCTGCCTAATGTAATCATGCTTAGTCTTATCATGCCCGTGTTTTAAGTACAGGTGCTCTCCGAGTCTCAGAATCCCCTTTTCTGCTTTGACAACACCCGTGACCTCATCCTGATGCATTGCCCAAATTAAAGACCACAGCTTTTTGCTGATGCCCTCCGGTACAGGCTGGGCTAGGGAGCAGAGGGACTGGACCCTACTTCTACCTGGTTTAGCCTGGTTTAGCCTGGGCATCTTTCTGTGAAAGCCGGCACCTGGCCACATGCCTCCACAGCGACTTTCGCTTAAGCAATGCCCCACAGTCTATACAGTGCAAAAACTCACTGGATTTAACTGGGGAATTTGGCTGTTTAGCTGGGACTAAAGTTCCAATGCCGGCCTTTAAAACCTCAAAATTGTGCTCACGGTTTCCACTATTCCTGATCAAATCAAACTGAAGTTTACGTGCTTTAGATTTCACAGGTAGAGCCAATGCTCTGGCTACGTCACTTTCATTTCCATGTTTTCTAGTCAAATGACGGGACATTTTGTGGCAGGACATTGAACAGTAGAGGCAGAAGTGTCTCTTGCTGTATACTCGCCCCCCATTTTTCTTCTTTTGCAGCTGCATGATAACAATCTTATTTGCCTTTGGTTCGTCACTTTCCGAGTCTTGAAGAAAAGTGTTTTTGATTTTTCTTTTTCCATACTTTTTTACAGGTTTCTTCTTGACAGTTAAATCGTCAGAATCTGAGTCGACTTCATCAATTAGGGACTCTTGACTAAGCTGCACAAACAACAAATAATTAGTAATCATTCTATATAACAATTTGAAGTCATGACTTGTAGTCAGCACTTACCAGTGGTTTGTAAGCGTGCGCTTCAGTGTGCTGCTCTGTGATTGGCTGCAGCCTCTGTTGTGCTGCTCTGTGATTGGCTGCAGCCTAATGAACCACACACTTGCACCTTTTTCTAGCCTGACACCTGATTTCCTCTGTTGTGCTGCTCCATGATTGGCTCCAGCCTCTGTTGTGCTGCTCCATGATTGGCTCCAGCCTCTGTTGTGCTGCTCCATGATTGGCTCCAGCCTCTGTTGTGCTGCTCCATGATTGGCTCCAGCCTCTGTTGTGCTGCTCCATGATTGGCTCCAGCCTGCTGGACTGAAATTGCCCCAGTGTGCCCCTCCTTGATATTCCGCAACCCACCACCAGGGTTCCGACACATAACACACTTTTTTCAGGAAAGTAAACCTCCAGGGGTCCTTTCCATATTTTTACAGAGACTGCATAAGGACCGTTAGAATTATTAAGCTTGGACCAGTGGGGTCCGGTGTTCGGGCCCCACCACGTAAAACCAGTCCCCATGACGTGAGTGGAATCTCAGGTTATGGAACCCACCAGGAGTTGAAAACAAGTGCACACACACACACATACACACATACACACACACACACACACAGAGGAAAACACACACACGGACACACACACAAACAGATACACACACACATACACAGACACACAGAGAGGAAAACACACACACACACACACACACACACACAGTTCCATCTGCTCCAGTCTCTAATCGGCTCAGAGCGAGCAGTGGTTAAACAGCAGCGGCCTGAGGCTTACTGCAACTACGGGCACTACAGGTCACACACAGAGATACACACAGAGATACACACACACTCACACACACACACAGACAGAGAGACACACACACTCACACACACAGACAGAGATACACACACACTCACACACAGAGATACACACAGAGATACACACACACTCACAGACACAGACAGAGATACACACACTCACACACACACAGACACAGACAGAGATACACACACACTCACACACACACAGACACAGACAGAGATACACACACACTCACACACACACAGACACAGACAGAGATACACACACACTCACACATACACAGAGATACACATAAAATCTTTGGAGATCTTTGGAGAGAGAGCAAGATGGCGCCGGGTCAGGGCGCCTCAGTAAGAGCTCTGGTGTGCACTATCTGTTCTATGTTGTTTATATTCGTCTGTGATACACTTGCCACCGTGAAGTACGACCGAGAGACACTTCTCTACATTCGGGACCGAGCTTGCGGAGTATCGCAGGTCTTACCTGAACTGAGGTGCTTGGACTTCATTGAGTGCCCCACTCGTGAGGCCCGTCAAACATGGCAGGCGGGCCGCGGCAATGGCCGCGAACAGAGCGGGGGGACTGGGCGTCTCCATCGTGCTCTCCGCGGTATGGAGCAGGGTACCGGGAGCCAACGAAGGAGGCGCAGACACCGGGGAAAACGAGGCGGTCTGCTCGTTCGTAGCCGCTCCTCCAGGACCCCTTTGCCCTCCATCTACCTGGCCAACGTCCAGTCTCTGCCCAACAAGACGGACGAGCTCCTGTGTCGGGTCCAGAGCCAGCGCGAGGCCCGGGACTGCGCTGTGTTCTGTCTCAGCGAGACGTGGCTCCATCCAGGCGTCCCGGACTCTGCTGTTCAGCCCCCGGGATTCACCGCTCACCGCTCGGACAGAGTGAAGGAGACCACGGGCAAGGCCAGAGGCGGAGGTGTGTGCTTTTTAATTAATCAGCGCTGGTGCACGGACACTCGAGTCGTGAACCAAACATGTACTGCCAATCTGGAATGCCTGGTCTTGAGCTGTCGCCCTTTTTATCTTCCCCGTGAGTTTTCAGTGATATTTTTATGTGCTGTTTACATTCACCCACGGGCGGATTACAAAGTAGCCCTACAGGATCTGAGCCAGATCCTTCACAAACATGAGTCTGCTCATCCTAACGCAGTCATCATTGTTGCTGGGATTTCAATAAATGTAATTTAAAGACTGTACTCCCGAACTTTTACCAACATGTGACTCAAGCTACAAGAGGAGCACATGTTCTGGATCACTGCTACAGTAACGTGAAGGGAGCTTACAGGTCCAGTCTCAGACCTCCTTTTGGAAAGTCTGACCACTCCTCTGTTCTCCTTCTTCCTTCGTATACTCAGAGGAGCAGGGAACATAAACCAACCTCTCGCACTGTGCAGTGTTGGTCTGAGGAGGCTAGCATGAAGCTACAAGGTTGTTTTGATGCTACGGACTGGTCTGTGTTTCAGTCAGAGGACGTTAATGAATTCTGTGACGCTGTGTCTGGATACATACGCTTCTGTATTGACTGCTGTGTCCCACAGAAGGTCATTAAAGAACATTTTAGTCAAAACCCTTGGATGAACGCGGAAGTGAAACTAAAACTTCATGAGCGTGCGTTGGCGTTTCAATCAAATGATACAGTTGCTTATAAGCTATCCTGTTACTCATTGAAACGTTCTATTAAATCTGCAAAGCGCAGTTACGGGGACAGGTTAAAGAGTTATTTTGAGGAAGATGACCCTCGGCGCATGTGGAACGGTATTAAAGCCATCACATCGTGGAAACCTAGCGCTGGGAAAACTGCATCTGTCGGCCAAGCTCTGCCAAACGAGCTGAACACGTTCTACTGTCGCTTTGAATCCGCTGATGCCTGTCTTTCTGTATTCCCTGAGTGTTTCAATCAAGGTCCCTTCACCGTGACTCAGGAGGAAGTCAGGCGTGTCTTGTCCAGGACCACAGTCCGGAAAGCCCCAGGCCCGGACGGCATCCCTCCTCGTGTCCTGAAACTGTGCTCTGAGCAACTTGCCCCTGTGCTAACAGACATTTTTAACCTGTCGCTAAGGAACTGTACTGTGCCAAACTGCTTTAAAGAGTCCACCATCATTCCAGTTCCTAAGAAAACTCCTGTGACATGCCTGAATGACTATCGTCCTGTGGCTCTCACGTCTGTTCTTATGAAAACTTTTGAGCGGCTTGTGCTGGACTTCATTAAGAGCCAGATCCCTGTGAGTGTTGACCCGCTCCAGTTTGCTACAGACAGAACAGGAGTGTGGAGGATGCATCTCCTTTGCTCTGAACTCTGTCTACAGTCACTTGGACACTAGTAAATCTGTGGCCAGAATGCTTTTCATCCATTATAGCTCTGCTTTTAACTGCCTTGTCCCAGGTAAACTGATTGAAAAGCTCATGTCTCTGGGTTTAAGTGTTGCCATGTGTAAATGGATCTATAGCTTTTTAACTGACAGATCTCAGAGAGTAAAAATCAATGAGTGTTTTTCTGATGTTGTTTCTGTGAGCACTGGTTCTCCTCAGGGATGTATTTTGAGTCCTTTGCTTTTTACTTTGTACACTCACGATTGTGTGTCCTCCTCTGACTCAAACTTGATCATCAATATGCTGATGACACCACCATCATCGGTCTCATCAGTGACACTGATGAATCCTCTTATAGAGCAGAGATACAAAATGTGGTTCAGTGGAGTCAAACTAACAACCTCCAGTTGAACGCATCCAAAACATGTGAACTGGTCTACGACTTCAGTCACAATAGTTCTCATTTGCCTGTCGTAATCGACAACTCCCAGGTGCAGATCGTAGAGGAGCAAGTTTCTGGGTTTAACTCTGTCTAACCTGAAATGGGTTAAAAACACTGAGTCGTTAAGAAAGCTCGTCAGCGTCTCTACTTTCTGCGTAAACTTAGAGAATTTACCACTAACTCTAAGATTGTGCTTAACTTTTATGGCTGCACCATTGAGAGTTTACTTGTTGGTTCTGTGTCTGTGTGGTTTGGAAACATCACAGATAAAGAAAAGAGAGCTTTAAACAAGGTGCTCCGCTCTGCAAAGAGGACCGTGGGCTGTGAGCTTCCTGTTCTGGAGGTTCTTTATAAATCCACACTTTTAAACAAAGCTCTTAGGATTGTTAATGACTCTTCTGGCCACCCTGGGAAAGCCATGTTCCAGCTTCTTCCCTCTGGCAGAAGATATCGCTCTCTGAGATGCAGGACATCTCGTTACGCTAACAGTTTTTATCCACAAGCTGTTATCAGTGTGAACAGAGCACTTTAATGATTTTGCACCTGTACAGATCTGTTTTAGTCGATCGATTTCACAGTGACATTTGTTTACTGTTTTTAAAATTTGTTTTATTTTTGTCTTTTAATGTTGTTTTATGTCTGTACTTGTCCTGTGCACACTGGGAACTGTTACTAATGTATTCCAATGTAGTGTTACTGCAAATGGCGAATAAGATGAATCTGAATCTGAAAATGCAATCATAAAGAATTACATTTATAACATTATTCTTCTCGCGGCTCCGTGACTTCCCCCGGGGCTGAGTGTCCACTGTGCCCGCGCTGACTGACCACACGGGGGGCGTGAGCAGCCTCCTCCTCCTCCTCCTCCACCTGCTCCTCCTCCTCCTCCTCCTCCTCCTCCTCCTCCTCCTCCTCTGTCCGTAAAGCAGGATCCGCTGCGGTGAACTGCAGGTACGTCCCACCACCGACCTCCCGATCCCCCTCACACCCGGCCTCTCTCCCCGGAGCCTCTCTCCCCGGAGCCTCTCTCCCCGGAGCCTCTCTCCCCGGAGCCTCTCTCCCCGGAGCCTCCCTCCCCGGAGCCTCTCTCCCCGGAGCCTCTCTCCCCGGAGCCTCTCTCCCCGGAGCCTCTCTCCCCGGAGCCTCTCTCCCCGGAGCCTCTCTCCCCGGAGCCTCTCTCCCCGGTGCCTCTCTCCCCGGAGCCTCTCTCCCCGGAGCCTCTCTCCCCGGAGCCTCTCTCCCCGGTGCCTCTCTCCCCGGAGCCTCTCTCCCCGGAGCCTCTCTCCCCGGTGCCTCTCTCCCCGGTGCCTCTCTCCCCGGTGCCTCTCTCCCATCCCCGCTGTGCGGCAGCTCGGTCCGGGTGTTAGTTAGCTGCTGAGGCTAATCCCGATGCTAGCAGCAGATTAGCAGCTCTGAGTATGTACAGAGTATGTACAGAGTATGTACAGAGTATGTACAGAGTATGTACAGAGTATGTACAGAGTATGTACAGAGTATGTACAGAGTATGTACAGAGTAAGGTCAGTCTGTGGCAGAACCATGACAGAGAACATGTGACAGTTTGACACAGAGGACATTCATGTGACATCACCTGCTGCTGTTCTGTGCAGGCTTGACTTGAAACACTTATAATCCACACATAACTGTGTTAAATGTGTCATATCTGTTTATGGCAGATATTGGCAGAGAACCACGATGTTAAGAGGAGCTAACGGAGACTGAGACAGACGGAGACCCGGAGAGCGGACACGGGAGCCTGGGCACGGTGCAGGATGCCCGCCGGTGAGTGCCCCCGGGGGTGGGACAGGGAGCGGGGAGGCTGGGTGTTGGATGCCGCTGTGAGGTGAAGGGCAGGCGGCAGACACGTGGTGCCTTCACGGTCTCCGTGGTGCGTTCACGTGCCGTTGTTTACCTGCTGCTGTCAGTGCACTTCCGTGTTGTAGTTATAAGGACTGTGGCTGAGATGGACGTCACATGTTTTAGAGTCTCCTGAATAATGGAAAACAGGAAGGACACTTTGAGGATCATGGACATTTGGGACACAGCAGTTTTTATAAAGTTACAGTGTCTCTGAGTCGCCACAGACAGACAGACAGACAGACAGACAGACAGACAGACAGACAGACAGACAGACAGACAGACAGACAGACAGACAGACAGACAGACAGACAGACAGACAGACAGACAGACAGACAGACAGACAGACAGACAGACAGACAGACAGACAGAGCAGTCTCAGCGGAATGTATCAATCTAATTATTAAACAACGTCACTACGCTAGCACCACAGCCGTACGCTAACACCACAGCCGTACGCTAACACCACAGCCGTACGCTAACACCACAGGCGTACGCTAACACCACAGGCGTACGCTAACACCACAGGCGTACGCTAACACCACAGCCGTACGCTAACACCACAGCCGTACGCTAACACCACAGCCGTACGCTAGCACCACAGCCGTACGCTAACACCACAGCCGTACGCTAACACCACAGGCGTACGCTAACACCACAGGCGTACGCTAGCACCACAGCCGTACGCTAGCACCACAGCCGTACGCTAACACCACAGCCGTACGCTAACACCACAGGCGTACGCTAGCACCACAGGCGTACGCTAGCACCACAGCCGTACGCTAGCGCCACAGGCGTACGCTAACACCACAGCCGTACGCTAGCACCACAGCCGTACGCTAGCACCACAGGCGTACGCTAGCACCACAGGCGTACGCTAGCACCACAGGCGTACGCTAACACCACAGGCGTACGCTAACACCACAGGCGTACGCTAGCACCACAGCCGTACGCTAGCACCACAGGCGTACGCTAGCACCACAGGCGTACGCTAGCACCACAGGCGTACGCTAGCACCACAGCCGTACGCTAGCGCCACAGGCATACGCTAACACCACAGCCGTACGCTAACACCACAGCCGTACGCTAACACCACAGCCGTACGCTAGCGCCACAGCCGTACGCTAACACCACAGCCGTACGCTAACACCACAGCCGTACGCTAGCACCACAGGCGTACGCTAGCACCACAGGCGTACGCTAGCACCACAGGCGTACGCTAGCACCACAGCCGTACGCTAGCGCCACAGGCATACGCTAACACCACAGCCGTACGCTAACACCACAGCCGTACGCTAGCACCACAGGCGTACGCTAACACCACAGCCGTACGCTAACACCACAGCCGTACGCTAGCGCCACAGCCGTACGCTAGCGCCACAGCCGTACGCTAGCGCCACAGCCGTACGCTAGCACCACAGCCGTACGCTAACACCACAGCCGTACGCTAACACCACAGCCGTACGCTAACACCACAGCCGTACGCTAGCACCACAGGCGTACGCTAGCACCACAGGCGTACGCTAACACCACAGGCGTACGCTAACACCACAGGCGTACGCTAGCACCACAGCCGTACGCTAGCACCACAGGCGTACGCTAGCACCACAGGCGTACGCTAGCACCACAGCCGTACGCTAGCACCACAGGCGTACGCTAGCACCACAGGCGTACGCTAGCACCACAGGCGTACGCTAACACCACAGGCGTACGCTAACACCACAGGCGTACGCTAGCACCACAGCCGTACGCTAACACCACAGCCGTACGCTAACACCACAGGCGTACGCTAGCACCACAGGCGTACGCTAGCACCACAGCCGTACGCTAGCGCCACAGGCATACGCTAACACCACAGCCGTACGCTAACACCACAGCCGTACGCTAACACCACAGCCGTACGCTAGCGCCACAGCCGTACGCTAGCGCCACAGCCGTACGCTAGCGCCACAGCCGTACGCTAGCACCACAGCCGTACGCTAACACCACAGCCGTACGCTAACACCACAGCCGTACGCTAACACCACAGCCGTACGCTAACACCACAGGCGTACGCTAGCACCACAGCCGTACGCTAGCGCCACAGCCGTACGCTAGCGCCACAGCCGTACGCTAGCGCCACAGCCGTACGCTAGCACCACAGGCGTACGCTAGCACCACAGCCGTACGCTAGCGCCACAGCCGTACGCTAGCACCACTGGTACTCTGGTCCAATCAGAAGACTTTTATTTTATTTATTTATTTATTTAAGTAGGGACAGTACATATTAATGAACATATAAAATATGTAAATATGTCAGATTTTAGCCATAGGCTAATTTCCACCTGTTGTCCCTAGACAGGCTGATGTGAAACTTCACATTGAACATTTAACAATGACACAAAAGAAAGTCACAAGACAGTACAGGAACAGAACGACTGCAGGACAAGGAACAATGGGACCACAAGATACATATTCAAATATACTGTACAAAGAACATTAGGGATCTCAGGCAAATACAATGACAAAAGACTGGACACGACAGAGGACAGGGAGGACAGGGAGGACAGGGAAGGGTGAGGCAGAAAATGGGAGCGAAGGCGGTTCACTTCCACAAACCCAGGGGAAGACTTCATTCATTAATTGCTACGGATTATAAAAATCTAAAATTTCATTACGTTTTTTTTTTTTTTCTCTTTAAAATACCTATCTAAAATGCTGTGGTGCCCTAAGGTACGTTTTACATAAAATGTTATCGATTATGTTGACAGGTTTGTGTTGATCTGAGCCATTCCTTTAAGTGATTTTTAAATGATTTGAAGCTGATTGCCTCCCTCACAGTGGTTGGTAGTTTGTTCCACTGGACACTGCCTTTATAGGACAGGACATTTTGACCAAAAGAGGTTTTCCTCACAGGAACCTCACAGTCGCCTCTGCTCATGGACCGAGTTGTTCTCGAGGCACTTGTTCTGTATTTAAAATATCTTGTTAGGGGTGGTGGAGCCAACCCATGTAAGCTTTTATAAATTAGACAACAGTTTTTGAATGTTATGAAATGTTCAAAGCTCAATAAATTATATTTGGAGAGGATATTACAATGGTGGTAACTAAATGGTTTTTTATCAAGGATTTTCAGTGCCTTTTTATAAAGTCTTTCAATTGGTTTAAGAATCGTTACACCTGTCAGAGATCAACTAGTTATACAGTAGCTTACGTGCGAAAAGATCATACTATGTAAAAACATCATAGCAGCTTGATCAGTCATTGACCTGCGTATTTGGTTGAAGTTGGACACATTAAATCTAATTATTTTTGATATCATTTTAACATGATTTTTAAAGGACAGCGTAGAATCTAACAAAACACCAAGATATTTAAACTCTTGAACTAATTGCAGTTCTTGCTCTCCAAAATATACATTGGAGCGGGCAATATTAAAGTTTTTTTTTGAGAAATACATACAGACTGTTTTCTGTGCGTTTAGCTGAAGACATGATCGAGTAAGCCAATGCTGGATTTGAGTTAGGGCTGATGTAAGAATTTGGGCTGCTTCCTCAGATGATTTTGCAGTTGTATAAATCACTGCGTCATCGGCGTATAGTTGAATGTCTACATCCTTACAAACATCAGGTAAATCATTTATAAACAGTGAAAATAAAATAGGTCCCAAGATGGACCCTTGGGGGACCCCTAGTGTACAATGCAATAAAGACGATTTCTTTCCATTGACTACAGTAGCTTGTTTTCTGTTTGATAGGTATGAAGACATCCATTTTAAGGCTTGTAAGGACTGTACTCTGGTCCAATCAGAACAGCTTTAAAGCTGTGTTCAGACCAGTGTGGGCGGGTTTCGGCTCAAAAGTGGCCAAAATGAGGTGCGCTGACATGCTGCAGTACCACCCCGGGCCGATGGGGGTGGACCCAGAATAAGAGTTAGCCAATGCTAACATATAGCATTGGCAGACCTCTGGAAAACGTCTTTACAGGATGGACCAAAAGTTGTCTCTTGGCCCAAAGCTCCGTTCCACATGTGTGTCAATGCTGAGGGGGGTGTTTTGGTCCACTCTAGTTTAGTCGCTGTGGACTTCAGAAGTCTCTCGTTCAAATGAATGGAGCTCTCTCCGGCTGACGCATGCACAGATGCGTTTTTTCACATTTTTCTTGTGGGCGGGACCACTCGCGGCCATTTTGGATAGCTCCAGTAGAGCACATTTTTTGGCCCATTAGTTAGAACGGCGCAGATAGGCCTGACTCTGTCCGTTAATATATACAGTCTATGGTTCAGACCGGATCCTGCTGCGGTGAGTTTCAAAGTAAAGTCAACGTTGACCGTCCATGAGGAAGAAGTGCATGTACTGCAGCACGTTTATCCTGCAGCAGACGCCTTGTTGCGGCGCAGCAGCGGTGGGTACAGCGGAGAGATACTGAAAGAGGACTGGACCAGGACTGGACCAGGACTGGACCAGGACTGGACCAGGACTGGACCAGGACTGGACCAGGACTGGACCAGGACTGAACCAGGACTGAACCA